CACATATATGTGTCTACTAATATGACAGAATTCAGTAATTATTGTATAAAATTCAACAGATGACTATTCGAAGGCAACCAGGTGTTATTCTTTCCAGTTATAATTATTAATTTAATCAGTATTTTTGACTTCATTATTTTAGAGCAATGCCCTGAAAGCCTATTTTCAAGTGATATCATAGTATAGATCAATGACCTCAAGTGAAAATCTAATATTACTACTGCTTGATATCTACCGAGGTGAATATCGAATCTAAAACCAGTGGTTAGTAGACCAAGTTTTTTCCTTTTTTTTTCTTTTAATAATAATCATTAGAACATGTCAATACATTCTATAAATTATTTTGATTTACATTATTTACATATAATAATATATAGTACTTACCCCAGTGGGTAATTGCCATTTGGATCAAAGTTTTTCCATATGATTTTTTTTATTTTATCATTTTTGTGAAAAAAACGGTCAGAACTTAATAGACCCATAATATAAGCTGTGGTAATAATTTCCTTAACTGTTTTGCTTTTCAGGTGGAAACACAACACTACTAGACCTAGCTCTATTTGATGGATTTAATTTTCAAAGTATCAATTTAATTCAATCCAATTTTTTTTTGTATAATAATATAGGTCATTAATGCTAGCCCGGGGTTTTTACTCTAATAATTTATAATATGCTATATTTCATTAAATATATAAAGAAGTGTTCAAATTGTGAAAGAAAATAAAAGGTTACAATTTTCTTTTTAAAAAATCGAAAAAGCATTTATATTGATAATATTAGAAAATCTCTAATAGTGATCATATTCAATCATATTTAATTTGATTCAGCAATATCGGGTTAGATCCATTTTCAATTATAACATGTTGCCATCTATCTGGCAACTTTCTGATTGAAAGTCTTAAGCTCTAACCACTAGGCTACTGAAAACCGTAATATAATTCAGATTTCTTGATACTTTGATACTCCCTATCTCAGAAATTTGATATAATTCGGATTTTGAGATGACTTGATATATTAGATTAAATGAGATTACCACTAACAAAATGCATTGACGTTAAAGGCTATATATAAAAAAATAATTTTGCAAATAAAAATTCGAATTACCATTAACCAATGTTCGAATAAAAACTCGAATTTACATTAACAGTTTAATTTTCTTGTACACTGTAAATTCAATTTTATTTGTGTAGCAAATAGATTGATTATGTTTACGTACCTTAATTATGATACATATATATATATTTGTATATATCATAATTATGTACACATTCATACTTGTTTTTTGTTGTCAATTTCAAACATTTCCGTTACTCCGGTAACCATTCCACCACCATTCCATATTGATCACGATATGGCACCGATTCCGTTGAACCAGACAAATGAAATGACTGTGCTAATACGAGTTTGGAGTATATCGATCATCGTATATGCCATTAGTAAAGCATTAACAATATTTCTAAACTATAAGATAAATATCTACACTATAATTTTAGAAAACAATTCCATTCCTGGTGCAAGACCAAATTTTCATATAATCAAATTTTGAAAATCAAATAATCAAGATATATTTCATATAATCAAAATTCAAATTTCAATTTTTCATCTTACCTACGATTCGTTGAATGAAATGTAAATAGATGTTTCTAAATTGTGGGCTTATGCAGAAATTTAGTTGTACCGTTGTTATTTTTTTTTTTTCAAAAATATTGTCATCTCAATGCTTATGTCCCGGATGGTTAACCTATCTTTATTTGATATTTTTTTCTTATATTTTTGCTAATGGTAATAAATGCTATTTTTGGAAACGGTTCAAATTGAAAGCATATTTTTAACTTTTATCAGGGTAAGATATACAGTGGCGCAAAAAAAATCTAACATATTTTTTGTGTATCTTGGCATTTCAAGACCCCTTCAACATTTTGGCATACTTAATTAGAAAGAATGGATGTATTTATGTGTAGGTACAAAGTTTAGTCGACGATTTCGAGAGTACAGATGAACCGATTTGAATGATTCAAAAATTATTTCACTTGTATCGACGGAATAAAGAATTGATTCAATTTTTGGAATGACAAGTTTGATGATTTCGGACTTAAATTTACTTAAATTTTACTAAAAAATGTAAAAAATGTAAATTCTATTCTTCAATTTTTTTTTTCAAAATTTTAAATTATATTATGGTATGGAAATTTCCAGCAATTCACCTTAAGGCACTATACATGGACAACTAGTAGTTCATTCATATTTTCAAGTAAAAATAGATATCAGATTGTCCCAAACGGTTAGAACCTCTGGAGCTTTCTGATAACATACTTATTGCCTGGAAAAACTCAAAATTGTGGAGGTAGTAGAAGTAAAATGCATTTGCAATCATGTAATTTGAATGTCATTATTTTTTTAATTTATGATTAATAGCAATTATTTCGATGAGTTCAAAATTACGTATTTCTATAGTTTTTAATTAAATTAAAAATAATACCAGATAGGTATTTGCTAAGCACATGAATGAAATATGAAGTTTATTGTTTTAAACTGCATGCAGATATTCCAAAATGTTTGAGTACTTTAATTGTAAGTATGGAAAACAAAAATTAATATTTGAGAAGCTTTTATATTTCAATACACCACACGCCTAGTAATCTCGGTTAGACCACCATGCAGGAAAAGCTAGTGCTAGACGGAAAATAAAAGAAAATTTGCCTTCTACTTCGGAAGCCAAAAGGTATATAAAAGTCGTCTACCACGTACAAAGTGCACAAAATACACAAACAACGGAAGCAACGTGTAAAGGGGCACTCAATAAAGCACCAGGGGTGATTTTTGAACCGGTGGATTTTTTACGAATTTATCGACTAAACAAAACATGATCTTGGCGACAGTGAGGACGAAATTCAGCCTATGCAGGGACGCGTTTACGAAAGGAATCAGGGATGTTTATAAATATTGCGATTTCTATTTGATTTTACGCGATTTCAGATAAAAAAATGATTAATTCGAAACGGGTAGTGATGGTTGTGGTAAACTGAAATGTGCTGTCCGGTGATTATAATGTAAAAAAGAATCTATGTGAAATTATTGTGATAAAACTAGTGATTTGTGTAAAAATGTAACAATATCAAAGTGTAAAAATTGTGACTTGTTTCTTGAATATTTACATACAAAAATAACGATATAAACTAATCGATTTATAAAATTTATAAAAGCATATTTGAAACAAAAATTAATAAAAATGTGAATAAATACAACATAATACATATTTTAGAATTCAGTATTAGAATTAAGTTATGTATCGGTATATAGTACAAATTTTTATTATTATTTCTGGATTTAATATTGCAAATGGGAAATATGTGGAAGGACATTTGAAAACATTTGAGGTAAGGATTTTGAAATTGATTAGATTCAATTAATTTAAAGCATGAGCAATGTTGAAACAATAATAAATGAAGCTATAACTTAATTTTAATGTCTTTAAATCGTAAATAATTTAGTTTTTCTATATATAAATGAGTTTCAAATTTGTGTCATAATGAAAAGAGTTCATATTGGTACTTATAAAGATTCCATTATATTAACCTAGATTTCTACTGCACGTTTTGTAATAAAACTATAATTTAATAATATGTTGATATTTTTTAATTAATTAATGGATATTTTTGTTTAACCTTCATATTTATACTAAATTCATCAGCTCTCGACATAAGAAATACTATGCTATTAGAAATTAATTTATTAAGTTATTAATAATTTATTAAGTTATTAGAAATTAATTGCACAAAATTACTTCAATATCGTTATAAATATAT